AAACAGCAAAATTATTCGTTGAGAATTCATTTATTTCAAATGGCAGGCGTTTTGATAATTATCGTTAGCTCTTTAGCAGACTTTGAGCTTCACAGAGAGGAGGAGGAGAAGAAGCATCAAAGTGACAAAAAGTTGAGAGGGGGACGGAATAATGATTCACAGATGTAAGAGATAGAAAGGTACAAAGGCAGAGAAAGGGTAAGATGAGTACTGTAGAAGTGGTCGAATATGACATACAGTGGGGTCATGGTAGTTTGAAGTCAGAAATCAACTGCCGATTAATAGACATTTTTGCTGTATAAGTATACGTTGCCCAGGGTGCACCACGTGGAGGTAAGTCTATCACACACCCATTCGTTGAGAATTAAAGTGTGCTGATTTGTATCGCTAACAAGTTTATTGTGCCCATGAAATAAAATGGCAAAATTTATTGCGAAGCGTTTTTTTATCCATTTTAGGCTGAATATCTTCTCCAAGATCCAGGCCTCACTTCCAAAGGTGATATTCATTGAGAAATCATTTGAAGTGAATAAATTCTTTCTGCACTTATTACTTTGTTTATCAGTTCATTATTGGCATTTAATAAATGATAGCTATGGATTTAATATTCTCGAGTAGATTATTTCAATTAAAAGATGTGCAGTCAAATGCTGCCTATTTACTGCACATTGAAAAAAGATGACCTAATAAGCAAGTACTATTGGTGATATAGTTGCCAAAATGGTACAAACGATTTGAAATCGTGCAAACTAACTGTTTTTTTGTCCATATTCCTCCAATAATGTTTGAACGCTTATCAAATTGCTACACGAATAATCCTTGAATTGTGCGCAGTAATTTCTATGACAAGACCTTCTACTGTCAAATATCTCCCTGGATTGGCTTCGCATGTCTCAACAATATAGAGGAAATAGATGCTTGAATTGAAAAAAAACTTTTATTTGAGCTGTGTGGGGGGGAGGGGGGGGAAGTGTATGCAACCGGTGCGGGGAGTTGACATGGGATTTAACCGTTAAATATGATTTGGTTACTATGACCCTGTAATGACTATTGACCATTGATAGGTCGAAAGGTTTCCACACTTGTGACCTTATTTGCTCCTTGACGCGATCAGCATATCGTTGCCTACTCTAATTGTGTACTTTACAGGCATTAATTTCTCGAGGTTAGGGCTAATGATAAATATTATAAAGCCTGCCATTTGAAAAATATAATTTCTCGAGGCAAAAGTAAACAGAAAAAATTAAAACAATTATTCTTAATTACATTAATTATTGATACGTATCTAGCCAATTAATGTATTACATTATTCGATTTTTCAAAAAGGATCACAAATTTTGTTAATAGGTGAAGTCCCATATTTGTGTTGAATCTGAATTAAAATACTTTTGGCAGTGTTAGCTAATTGTTCGTAGGATAATAGATGTGGTATGATTGTGGTTACCGGAAGTCCATGACAAAAGATACCAGAGCTTAGAGATACCAAATACGAAATTGATAACAAACTACTGTAGCGGATTGCTACCTTAGTAAAGCCTGACTGACTCAGAAATCTCTATGGCAGATTCTCCAACATCTAGCCAGACTCCCAGAACTAACTAAGCTATAGCCCAGCTATGAAAGGAAACAGACGTGTAGCACGGAGCACGTTTATTCAGTACGAGTATTGCGGATCAAGTGTACACGTAGGGAGCTTAATCATGATCAGAATGGTGGATTAGGTTAAACAAACAGAGGTTAATGATTGGTCACTGTTTGTACGGTCGCACCTCCCAATCCTGGCGTGCAGGCATGCGATGACGTGTTAAGCTATGACGTGTCCCACAGGTGAAATATTTTACTTCTGTATTATCTCCCAACGAGCGCTTATTCGGATAAGCGGTTATTTGGTTTCAAAAAAGCTTCATGAAAAGAAATTTTTCGTTTAACCGTACAGGGCGGATTTTCGGAAAATCCCGTAATCATTATTAGGCTGAATATTTTGTATTTAAACACATTGAATACATAATCTACAAAATTGGTACAATTTTAGTTCAATACAAAAGACAAAAATTCTCGTCAAGCAAGTGAATGGGATGCCGTGGGTATGGTGATAGACCGATACTGTTTTTGGGCATATCTCATTCTCATCGTCGTGACGGGAATGATCACCTTGATCCCTCCAATGCCCTATGAGATCGATGAAGACACTCCCGGTGAGGTTCTCTTCAATCGCTTCAAAGAATTGGCTAAATATGTTGATCCAATAGATTAGCACAATGCCCACCTGAATACTCATTTATCGAACAAGCTTATCTCTGTCTCCATGTGACGAAATACAAGCTCAATTCTTGTATGGCAATATTTTTTTCTGGCATAATAAAGGATGAAAATCTGTTGTCAAAAAATGTGATGATGCTACAAGCGCATAAAATGCCCTTCTATTGCAATTTTCCGTACTGACATGTACTGCGCCTATTCTAATTAATGAGAATACTTGCATGAGGTGACCAGTATCTCAAATTAACAATGCAGAAAATGAACATCGATTCGGAAATTTACTGATTAGAGCTTGAGGCCTGATAATCATGATCTTCAACGTGAATAGTTTTGCAATGGGAGATATTTCAGGCTATGTTCATTTATTAATACATATAATATGCATTTTAATAAAAAATGTATGCGCATAAATAATGGTGAGATATCAGTATTGAAGATAATTATTTCTTTCAAATTGTAGGAGTTTTGATAGCTATCATTAGCTCTTTAGTTGACTTCGGGCTTCGCATGGGGAGGAATATCAAAGTCGTAAAAATAGGAGAGGGGAAATAGAAGAAAGATTCGCAGATGTAAAAAGGAGGACAGATACAAAGATAGAAAAAGGGTAAGGTGAGTATTGCGGGAGTGGTCGAATAGGACATACAGCGAGGTCATAGTGGGTTGAAGTCAGAAGTCAACTGAGGTCTGAGTATATATTGGCCAGGGTGCACCATGTAGTGGTAAGTCTATCTCACACTCCGTATTGAAGATATTGTTCCTTAGATTTAGAATGTATATTATTTTAAGGAAGTTCACGTTGAATTTGAAACCATCGTTGAAGTTCACGCTCTGCTATGTGGCGTTTCAATTCCTTTGGTCTAAAAGGAACATTCTATTTCAAGCATTACTGGTCATTAAGCCTGTGTAGCATGGACTCCGTTGTTGGTTCAAGGGCACTGCCTGCTTGTTATGCGTCTATTCACATACAGTTGGTAGCTTAGAGCTTCCATATTTTTGATCGGATTCCTTCGAAATGGTGGTTCACACAAAGCCTTCATTGGGGTTTTGATGGACTTATCTTAAACATAACTTTGTGTAACCTTTCTTTCTTGGCTTTAAATGAACTTTGAGGCAGCGCAATTAGAGAATAGTCGCAACAGTTTAAAGATGTGGTCCTCGTTTGGGCTTTGGTGCAATATTTCAAAGCCGAATCCAGTGAGCAAGCTTTTCACAAGCAGTTCCATTCAATTTGCAGCCAATCCCCATTTCAGGCGTGGAAGTGAAAAGAGAGGGAGCGGGGAGGAATTGCTTGCAGAAATAATACTCAAAGGAAATACTGAAATTGTGAGCACAGGGTGAGTAACATGCACTATGTGTTTGTGCACAAGTTAGCCAATAAGGGTAGGGATGGGGGATGATGATGGACTTTTAAAGTGAAAAAATGAGACTGTCAAGGCCGTCAAAAATTTATACTTGGCGTGAGTACAATAGGAGTTTAATAGACATAAAATAGATATTGCAATGGTTGACGAGTGATTGAAAGTAAATAGAGAGGGGGGGGGGAGATAGTGGGTTGGTACTCATTAAAAGCATAAGTTTGACTGTTAGTCGACTAGCACATTCATTTCAGTTGGCTGGTGAAATCACAAACATGCAGATCCGCTTAATCTTAGCGGCTTTTTTTAATGCCACTTATAAAACAGCTCATGAAGTGGTAAAACTGCCAGTTTGTGAGTGGCATCCAAATCTCAATGACAGTTGGAAGTCGAATGTGTCATAGAACCTAAAAGGCTGATAAACCTGCATGGGCAGTAAACTTGAGTATGCTTTTGGAAGTCCTTGTGTCTCAGAGTAATTTTTTTTATAAAGTGTGGCTCATTGTCACGCATATCATCAGGATATGTGCAGGGAATTAGCAGACTCCTTAGGTGAAGATAACAGTCTGATGCATCCAGGACTCAAATGAAGTAAACGTCTTTGGACGAAAGGCTTTCATCCTCTACTCTTTATGCGACACCTCATGAATCTTTAGTTGGAATTCCTCTTTATTCTTCCTGTTTAGAGGATTCGTATGGATTACGTCGAAGAGCAATAGCAAACATTAAAACCAAATGGTAGTAAATCTGAATAAAAATAACCTAAAGTCGGTATTGAATTTCTCATTCAAACTACCAGAAGCAATTGTGACTGACTACTTTAAATTCAATCAAGCAACCTCCTGCACTTCCAAAGGCATTCAATTGGGAAAGGGGTACAAATTGATAATATAAACAATGTCTTAAGGACAATGATGTACGCATTTTTACTTGATTTCAAAAGTATTCTTCACTTTATTGCAATCAAAATGCACAAATTTTCCCTTTTTTTAAAAAAAAGAATGCAGTGCTCGGCTGTACACTGTTGTTTAACAGACGTCTTGTTCCGATCAGATAAAAGTAGGTGGGCTTAATGTAATATAAATGTGTTTGAACTCACTGAGTTCAGCAGTACGTTAGATGATTCGACTGTGTGATGTGTTTAGTATGGGAGGGGGGGGGGGCGGTTGTTGGGAATTTACTCTGGGTGCCTAAATGCTATTTTGGAGTGGATTGAGTTATTGGCAACAAATCTAATTAGGAAACCAGTTGTCCCAGCACAGAAATGTCAGTGGATCGTTACAAAACACTTTAAACAGGGAGGTATCAAGGGATGCCAAATAAAACAAAGCCACAGGCTATTAAATAGACCGCCAAGTAATGTAATTAACCGCCTATGTAGCATTACAAACATTCAGGACAAGGTGTCGATTGTGTTTTAAAATTTAACAGAAAAGCCGACTGATAATTTAATTATTTGATTCTGACACGGTTTTTAACATTTTGTACAACAACCAAAAACATGGAAATAATTTATAAAATTGGAAATACATTAGGTTGAGTTAAAATAAGGATTGTTTACACCTAAAACGCAGTTTATGTTGAACTAGCTTTGCCAATTTACTGATCACTTTCATTGATCATTCAATGGAAACTTAACGAATCTAGTTTCTTAATTTAAAAACACATATATAAATGGACATATATGAATATGTGTAAGATGACTGCAATAAAATGCTCCTTGCCACAATAAGAATTTTAATATTTGCCTTGAAAACAGAGTTCAGGTTTGATTTTCAATACAATAAAGCTACAACTGCACTTTTATATAAGTTTTACTGTTGGTGGATTTGATTGACTAGGCTCGTGCTATGGCTATTATTGACTGCCGAACGAAAGAAATATAAATGAGAAGACGAAAAAACACTACCATGAACCGGAAGTTTTATATCGATATCACTTCATCTCGCAGAAAACTTCATTCATAAATTGGTGTATTTTCCGACTAATCTCTATCCACCACGACAGATATGGAAGTTAAAATATTAGTGCAATCTTCTGAAATCGATTACAATTTTGTCAAACCTAAATTTTCGCGTATAAATTTTACTAACAACGCTTGTATGTCCTTGTCAGTGACTATTAATGACTTTCTCAGTCTCTCGTTTTCCTATCTGAGATCAAGGATATTCAGTCACGTCATCTAATACTGGGTATTGCCACAAATTGAAAGATATACATATACACACATTAAGCTAAACCATTTAATTTGAATGAAACATATTTCAAGCCCTTTAGTTCAGATAGATAATAATTTGTGCAATTTTTGTTGATTTAGCACAACTTATTGAAATAAAATAATTTCATGAACATTTATAAAGACTTTTAATTTATTTTTAACTGTCAAAATGTGAATTTACTTCTGAGTATTAACTAATTTCGTGAATCTAGTCAAAAACAATTATTTGATGAATATGAAATCTATTCAATTTTTCTTTTTTTTAAAAAACATCGAAAACAATTTTAATGGAAAAATTTTGAACCGATTGAGCAGACTACCTTTAGCACCCTACTTAAGGTCACAATTTATAAAGGTCACAAAATACTAAGTCACCGATGTAGTTATATGAATTTAAATACTTTAATATTCAAAGTGCGGAGGAATTTTAATGTTTTAATTACCCTTGAATGATAAGATGTATTGCTTCTTTATTTTCAAAATTCTCAGACAGTTTACTTCCAGAATCAATTAACGGAGGTATAGTGTCTGAACACCACGATTTATAGATCTAATGAACTTCAGGCGGTATGATTGTTTTCTAAGCTTTGTAATGCCAAAGTGAAGCATATGAATCACCTGAGGCTTCTGGCGTACTCGGGATTCAACTCATCTCATTTATTTGCTTTCATAGACACCTATTTTTTCCGCCTTGTTAACTCATGCAACTTGCAGTCTACTGATTTCAGCAATTTTCGTTAAATCACTGTCTGCTATCTAATTAAAAACCCACCAAGTAGCACGAAATAGGAAACCCCACAAAGGGTACTTTACGAAAAACCATTTTCAGTGACCCATTTTAGACGCTTAACACCGCTGTTCTTCAACACTCTCCTTCATTTCCGATTTCATCTAATTTACCAATTTTAACCCAAGTTTTTAAACTTCGATTCATTCTTATTGCCAGTTTTTACTATCAGTTGACTGTGTTAAGGGTAAATAGCAGTCGAATTATTAAAGATGTTTCTGCTCATATTAGTGCCACTTTAGGGTGAAAAGCCAAGTAAATTTGCTCAATGAGATTTATGTTTTCATTTAATAAGCCCGCAATGAAACTCACGTTCTGTTATTTCTTGCTAAATTTGGGGTTTGGTTTGACTTAATTAGATGCAACCGCCTTTTAACTGAACATATTTTCGGTTTATTTGATCCTCCAAATAGCCGGAAGTATTCATCGTTGCTCTCAATGTGGCAATTAAGACCTTAATGACGGGAAATTATTTTTTAATCGTTATTTCATCCAATCCAGACGAGCGAAATGGCCTTTCAAATAGCCAATTTAATTTAATTCAATTTAATTCTAAAATAGAAGTAAATTTTACTTTAAAATCTGGATTCGGAGCCATAAATAGCGGCCTCGTATTGAAATGTGTGGGACACGTCATCGCGTGCATGCGCGCCAGGACTGGGAGGTGCGTCGTGCAACTCATAGCTCAGACAACCAATCAACCAGTGACCCATCAGAAGCTTCCATATGTTTAAACTAATCCGCCATTCCGTTTATGACTGAGCTTCTTGCGAGTGCACATTAGATACCACATCCTTTGCGAATAGACGTGGTCTTGGTGTACGTGTATTTTTTCTGCTACTTGCGGTAACAGTTTTGTTCGGGAGACTACCTATTAGGTGAACTACCACAGAGATTCCTGAGATAGTCAGGGCTTTAAAAGTGTTGCAAATCCGCTACAAATGAAAATTTAAGTTGGACAAGAGGCATCAGACATATCGAAGGTTGAAGGCAATTTAAGGAGCCAGCTCCGTAAAATTGTCACCATCTTTTAAATATGATTGATACTCTTAACTTCAACGTTGACTAAACTCATGCATTCCATATTTGAGAAACGGTAAAGCTGACTTTTAGCTTCATACCCTTAGCAAAAGTATTTATTCGGCTGCTATTGTAAAGTACATTTTCAGGGCTTGAAAATTTTCACGTTTTCTATCTTCCCTCTAGGAAAGCACTACTAATCATGTCGCAATTTTATTACTCAAAGTCTAATTATCCCTTAGACAGACATTGAAGGAAAGAAACCTCCCCATTGATCGTTTGATTAACTTGCAATCCGTGAAAGTGAAAGGAAACAAGTTTTTCCAAACTCATTTTTAGTGTACACTCACTGTGTCTTATTCAACTTACTCCACGTTCTTTAAACTTTAATTTACTACTAAAATAGACGCAGCTGTATTAAACTGCTATGCGATATGTCTTGCCTCACATTCTACAGGTGGTCGCCTATCAGCTTGACATTTCGAGCTTGAAAATGTTTCCGACACGACGGTTACTTGTCTCTTGATTGTCAGGAATATGAATGGAGTTTTTTAGCTATTTCTTCCTAAAGCTAGAACTCGTCGGCCTTTTCAGTTTACTATGAGACTAATTGAAGTCACTTTCAACCCTAACCATAAATATTGCTAGTTCAGCTATGCTTTTTTATATAAGATGTAGAGTATATTCACCTCATTTACCCTTACCACCCACTCTAATTGCTAGCGTGAATACTTCGCTGTAATCGAACCAAAAATCTAGTATACTCAGTAGTATTTACTCATAACTTTTAGCACACATTTATCACATGTTTTTTGAACACATTCAAAAGTACTTACAAAGCATTTAAAACTCCGTCAAGTATTTTTGCTTAACACACATGTGGTTATAATTGATTGGTTTATAGAAGAGATAACTCTGAAAGTGGAATATCAGTTTCCGATGCCGTTGAGAACTCTTCTGCCTCGGCCAATTCTAGGTCATTTCCTGGTGGTAAGGTCCATTCAGTCTGGCACATCTCTTCTTTGTGCTTAAACGAACAATGAAATAGTGTTGTCAATACTACTGAAATTTATATAAGTAGTTTGTGATTATATTCTTTAGTTGAAGAGCAATGATTTGAACCTCTAAACGGATTGACCGAAATACGATCATTTTTACCCACACATAATGATAACTTACTTTAATAAAGTTAGAGCAACCAAAAGGGACTTAAGTGTTGCGAAATCATGCAAATTATTAAACTTAGTTTTTAACACGATGCAAGTAAAAAAGCATACCGTTGGCTTATCAGGTTGTGACGAATGTTTCTGTTTTTCTCGACGAATGAAAGACCTCCTCAGCTGACTACCCTCCAGAACAAATTGAACGGAGTTTGCGGATCCAGGTGAAACAGCACCCCTATTCCTATTGCTCAACATTGAATTTCTTTTATCTTCCGTCATCATATGTTCAGTAATTCGGTCTAAATTATTTAACTTGGTGCTTGATAATGGAGGTGACCTCGGCGCAGCTCTCTTTTCCGCTCCTATTTCAACTACTTCGGTAAAAGCCGAGGATTCACGAGGGTCACAATTGTTGCTTCTGCGAAAATGAAATGCCAATAACTAAAATGAAATACGATTTGAAATGTGAATTTTAAGCCAGCATTAACAGATTGTCTTAATACTACCTCAGAAATGTGAAATTGTTAGTTTTTAGAAACAGATTTAAATGAACGTTTTAATCAGTTTTTCTAAAACGACAAAAATATTAGTTCACCTGTTTATGGCTATTGCTCAAGTGAATGCGGTTTCAAAAATCTCGCGAAACGATCCCTGAAATTTTCGGCGACAAAATGCAAATGTTGTCTGCCCTGCGTCATTTATTATAATTGACTCGTGACTAATTTGCATATATTTTGTAGCCTTTAGTGAATGACCAGACATAAATAATTCCACTTCCCCCCCCCCCCCACCCAGCCTGTCCTTTTATTATGAAGTTCAAAGTTGCAGCAACATTAACGCAGTCTGATAAAGTTTCGATTTAAACAAATGTGAATACCAATAACTTCATTTATTTTAAAATCCTGTCGAGGACAGGAATAGGGTAATAGAACGCATAGTTTTTCAATTTCAGTACGATGGAGATGGCGAGCTCTCTAGAATTTCTCTCTTCCATCTAATTATATTCCACCTTTTGAGCGCAAAACCTGGTTCTGAAGGTTAAATTGCCACGAATTTCCAGCCAGACAGCTTAAAGAGGAGTATTGTTGACAGTTCTTTGCGACAAAATCTTTAAACTAACTGCAACCGCAAAACACTAACATTAGTATAACTAAGAAACCCTCATACCTAATGAAGTGAGTCCGGATCTCGATCTTTGGTAATTACTTTTCTCAGTGGAGATGCCAATATGAATATATGTATACATTTCAAGATTACTATTTATTTATATATACTTGGAGTAACCTCAATTGTAATGCCTATAATTAATTAATTATAGGAAATCGTTTGAAACGGGTTCAACGTACTTCTTCCAAAATTTATTCTTCCGAACTTTTGGATGCACATTCGTCTGGAGCACGCCAATATGACATCTAATATCCTTCGCGGTTGCATATGACGCTCGAGAATTTTTTTCTGGTCGACAGAGGATGATGTAGGTTTTGGGGAAAAAGAGGATCACTAGGGCAATGCTTGCTGACACGCTGATGCACAATGTCAACACCATTTCGGTCTCATAGCCCGAGAGGTAAACTGGAATAACCGCGAGCCAAAGAACACATGTTGTGTACATCGTAAATCCTATGAACTTCGCTTCATTAAAATTCTGAGGTAGATTGCGGGTCTTAATCGCGTAAATTGTGCACATACCTAAAGTTATGCAATAAAGGCATATATAATTCCCAAATTCATTTAATTACTATATGAAAAATGTGAATTCATATATATATATATATATATATATATATATACATATATATAGTATTAAATGTAGTTGATTTGTTTAAATGTACCCTTTTCAAAGTTCATAGACATTAAATAGTATATTTAAACAAATAACATAGCAATATACAAGAAGATATCAAGTATGCGAACCTATTAGGAAGATGGGAAAGGCCAGTGGGATAACAGTTCCTCTCCTGCTGGTATCGCAGCTTATGCGGGCTCGAATTTTATCTTTGGAATATCGAACAGTATCCTTTGGAGGTTCGATAATGAACATCACTATCACAGCCAGAAACTCCACTGCAAGCAAAGCTAGTAATAAAACAAAGCACATTTAGTAATTACATTAGAACTTTATAAATTTCGTCCATAATGGGCGAATACAATGTGCCATGGAGAAACATTTGTAAGACCCAATACTAAATCTTTCTAAATAAGTAAGTGCAACGAATCTATGCTTTCTTCCAAATATAGATCTTCTCGAAACTTATTTTCAAAAGCTCACGGTGAAATGCTTGATGATTATCTAAAACAAAAATTCCCACTTGGCCTGAACTTGGCTGAAACCCAATGAGCATTGTCATGATTAAGTATCAATTCAAGTTCCTTCTGTCTACTCGTGGTAACAATAGGATGAAGACATAGCAAATTCCAAAATACCGATTAATAAACGATGGAGATAATGTGCATAATCTCAACCATAATTCTGGGAATTTGGACAAAATAACACTCGATAGCCAATATCCCCGACATGATGAAGATAAGAAAAAGGATATCCTTTGTGTGGAGGGTACTTGTCATAGCCTAATTTAAACTTTCGATGTAAAACATTAAATAACCCTTCAGTCATGGAAAATTACTCAAAAAATTAACTTATTTGCACAGTATCGAGGGGGTAACATTGTTGTGATGAACAGAGTGGGTGGGTGGGGGGGGGGGGGGGGGGGGGGGGCGAGGAGATTACTATGCCAAAATCCTGTAAATATTCAAGTGAAACAAAGTTATCCGCTCTTAGTTTACTCCAGAAAAAAAAACCATTTCAAAATTTTAACAAATAATTGGGATATAGAGAACTTGTTAATGGAGTAAATTTTGAAGTTGTTGACACAGTAATATGAATCGGAGGAGAGGTTGAAAAATAAGAAAAAATATTCTCAAATATATTAACGAATACGACGTTAGTTTATGCTTCATGCGCACTGAGCGTTGTATCGTACATCGTCTGATTCGTACCTACTTGTCATCTAACCAAGACAGCTTTCCTAGATGTGTCTTATTTAGTCTCCAATTTTGAAATCAAGACGCACGATCCACCTTCTTCCCAACCCTCACCCCCAACCCCCTCTCCCTCTTCCTTTCCCATCTCTCCCCTCCTTTGTAATCACCCAACAAATATCTACTTTGCACCTATTCTTCACAGAGGGGAGGAGAAACATCAAAATGAGAAGAATTCGGGAGGGAGAACAGAAGGGTTATTCACAGATGTAATAGAAACAGACAGACACCAAGGCTCAGAAAGGGTAAGATGAGTACTGTAGTAGGAGTCGAATATTACATACAGTTTGAAATCAGAAGTCAACTGCCGGTTAATAGACTTTGCCGTATGATTATACGTTGCCCAGGGTGCACCACGAGGAGGTAAGTCTATCCCATACCCCAATTACAAAATATTGGATTGGATTAGTGAACACAATGAAAGCACCCTTTTGACTAATTTAAATGACTTCTTCCCTTAGCCATATGGTTTATTCGGTTGACAATGGTTGACATTAATAAACAGCTGAACAGATAGGAAAAGGTGAACAATTAGGCTTATAAATTGGACTTTTTTTGTTAAGAAAATATAATAGGGCGAAAAAAATAGATTAACATTTTACAAAAAAAGATAGAGAAATCCAGTACTCATTTAATGTTAACTTTATTTTAATCCACGAATTCCAATCTGATTAATTTTCCTGTTTTATATTCCGTATTTGTTTCACAAATTGAAATATTTTAAATTATCCAAATTGAATGGATATCAGTGCACCTGTTATTCATCAATCTGTCTTATAAAATACAAAACTGCAAACCAATTCTTGATAATTTTTTTAACGAAAACACCCAATTTCTTTTCTTGAAAATACTTTATTTGCTTTCCATTTATTTTTATTCTAATTCGAATTACCTCAAGTATTGTATGTAAACAAAGAATGCATGCCTTTGTTCTAAACAATGTCAAAAAGCGATTCCCGTTAAATTATCTTGGAACAATGAATCAAAGGGAAGATTGTGAGGAGAATTTTGTGGCAAAGTACTCAAAGCTTTTCTGTCAATTACTAATTTATTTCGATTAACAGAAAAAATGTAGTTTCTTTTGACACTATTTTGATTGAAAGTATACTTGAATGCACCGACGAATTAAAGGTAAATGTGGTTTCATTTAAAGGTATATTCAAAATAAAGGGTGTGCGATAGACTTACCTCCACGTGGTGCACCCTGGGCTACGTATACTCATGTGGCAAAAAGTCTATTATTCGGCAGTTGACTTCTGACTTCAAACTACCATCACCCCCCTGTTTGTCATAGTCGACTACTTTCACAGTACTCGCCCCACCCTTATTCTACCTTTTCTACCTTCGTCTTTGAAACACTCTTCTGTTCCCTCCCCCCTTCTCGACTTTTTATTCACTTTGATGTTCCTTCCCCTCTGCGAAGCCTGAAGTCAACTAAAATGCTAATGACAACCATCAAAACGCCTGCCATTTGATATAAATAAATATTTAAAGGTGTATATATATATATATAAATTATGCATTATTTTTATTTTGTGTCTATACTGTTCCAGATGTATACCGCCTAAAGCTAACAAATGAATATGAATTGAAACCGGAGTAGGTAATTAATAAAATACTTAGAGATAAGACGTGTGTTCGAAAAACGGAAAACCATTGTGATTTGTAAATTGAAGGTCGTTAAAGTTAAAATAATCTTAAAATAATCTTTTCAGTCAGATCAAACATTGCTCTCTCAGAATGTTGCATCCTGTAATCCATTTGACTGATCAATCATAATGAAATTTACCTGATGAGGAGTATCTTTAATCTCTTATCATTTTCTCTCAAAATTCTTATTTCAATATATGGTTTAGATGATGAACTCTTAAGACAATAAGCACGTATGAAACAATAGATTTTACCTTGTATGAATTTCAGTGTCTCTGATATAAATAGATTGAAGCAGCATAACCAATTGCAGACGTAAATTCACTTGGGACTATGCATTGCTAGAAGGAAAGAAATCAGCGGCTTCTGGGAGAGAATGGGGCTGAAATCATCGATTTCCCTACCTCGTAATCTACTACTTCGATACAGTTTACGCCCTTTCATATATTCAGATATTAATTGGATGGGCTCTTATTAGAATACCATCTTACGATTAAAACTTATGACGGTAACTTTTTGTGTCATTGACGATGATAATAACGGGAAGCATATCTAAAGGCTACGAATGATTGAGCGGTTTTATTTGTTCTAATTCTAGTGGACAGGATTTCGGTCTCCTCAGTTGGCATGTTTATAGGCCTTATTCCATTCAATTTGTACATAAATGAGCGCAGCACAGCTGCCAACACAGCACCGACGACAATAATTTTCGCTCGGTACAATCTACGTCCATTAGTCAATAAGGTTTATGCGATGACGAGGCGGGGGGGGGGGGCAATAAACTTTCAGTTTCAACTTAATAAACACAAAATAACTTGTTATTATTCATTACTTTTTAACAAAGCATGGGTTTAAAACAAGTTTAACGCTTTAACGTCAAGCAGGAGCGTATGGCCCTCTTTAAACATAAGCCAATTGGTACTGGGCTCGTAACAGATGGTGAAAATTTTTAGAACTCAAAAAAATTATTCGACAGATAAGGGGTTAAATTGGATTTCTTACCATCATAAATAATGATTAAACCTTATAATTTTGACATAAACCAACA